TTATACTCATCTGATCCTTTTGGTCTTATCTGGTACTTTCGACCTTCGTTTTTAGCCGTTTCTCCTCTCCCGCTATTTGCCTATTGCATTTCCTCCTTTGTTAGCTACAATTATGTTTCCTGAGATGTCCATGAGTCCAGTTCCCTTCCTTTCTTACCTTTCCTTGAACTGCTTGCGGATTATACCACGGAACTAAATCGAGGGAGGGTCGTGTATAACAACGGTTAGGGGTTTCAGATCGTGGAGCCCATTTTCAAAACAGTGTGTTGCATGTTGAAGAGGTTCATGCGGGGATAATTTGTGTGCGGTTCATTTTTGCTGTGCTTATGGGAAGGTCAAAGAAAGGGTGAACAGTAGGCTGATGGAAGCTGATGGTTCGAATCGCTAGGAGACAAAGTTTATTTTAATCTCTTATGCTCGTAAAGAGAATTTTATCCAAACAGCAACATTAAGGACACTGAAATCTTTTGCCCCAAAAAAAAGAACACTCTGCTGCGGAGTTCATCGTGAACTAGTAGAGCTTTCTTCCGCCCCTTCATGACATTCCAGAACCGCGCGGCGAAAATGAGCTAAGGTTTACTGGTCTAGGTATGAATATCTGCAACACACAGTTTCAAAAATGGGCTCTACGGCTTAAAACACTACCCTTATAAGGATTAAGGGAAGTTCGGAAAACTCAGTCAAGTAAAATTGTGAAAGGATAGAAACTGTCAAATCTTGATAATCGAACGGCGAAACTCTTGTCTGGTTATTCCACTTGACCAGTTGCATCAGCGACCACGCTTTAGTGTTTGTAGTTCTACCACCTCGAATTTGTTTTGTAGTTCTAGCTTCTGGAGTTTATTTTGATCACATTCTGTATTGAAAAGAACCATGCACACAGTCTGTTTCAGTTTAAACCCCGTCCGATTTTTTGCATAATTCCGCCTAAGTTTCTTTTGTACAAAAGAAAAGCGTTGATTGCATGTGTTTGTGCCATCCTGTACGTTTGTATTTCCATTTGCGGTTTCACAAACGCCCAATTCTGGCTTGATGCCTTATGTCTACTTGTGAGCAACTGCAGACAACATCCGTGAATTTAGCATTTCAGCTTACCGCAGCTTTGGATTATCTCCTTACGAATGCTGTTCACGATGATGTTGACATTGCAGCACTAGAAAAAGCCTGTGGTGTTGGAGTGAATGTGACTGTTGATGAAATTGAAGACGCAGTGAGTTCCAACTTTCATTTTCCATCGTTTGTGGTGACGTACATGGAGGCTTCCAGTCACCAAGGGTAATCTTGTCTGTTTCCTAGGTTAGCGGCGTGATTGAGAAATACAAGAAGCAACTGGTAACTGAACGATATGCATTCAATGTTGGAAAGTTGCTGGGTAAGTGTCACCATAATCACACGCCCTTCGCTTCATATCAATTTAGTTTCCTTAATGTTGACCAGAGATGAAAATATGGTTAAACTGTCTGTTTTGATAACGTTTGCAATCTTTTAGACAAAACTTTGTTCTGAGATTTTGAACCACCTTTCACATACCCCCTTCTGTATAACACTGGGGGGGGGGGTCAATAAAGTACCTTTAAAGACAGTCTGGCGCTCAACTAATGCGTCTGTTCAGCCACATCTGAAGGCTATTTGCACTCGAACAAAACTTTTCTCTATATGTTTCAGGAGAAATTCGCTCACTGTTACCGTGGGCTGATGGGGGTTATGTAAAGAGAGAAGTCGATCTTCGTATACTCGAACTCCTTGGTCCGAAAACCATTGACGAACTCATGCCCAAGAAAAAGGTTGGATTTTTTCCCGCCATTGTGGACCGCCGCCTCAATTTGGAATTAGCGCTTACATGACCTCATAAGCAACCTTTTATAGTTATACCTAACTTTTGAATGTATACCTGTAGACTGACTTTACTCCAGATAAAGAAAGAAGAGAAGCCACAAGAAAAGAAAGTCGCTGCTAAAAAAGAATCTAAGGAAAACGGCATTGCAGACCAACATGGGATAGTTGAAGGTTAGTTCTCAACCATACCTTCTCCCAAATGAAGTAACTACTTAAGAAACATTAACATTCAGAAAGTGATGGTGCGGCCACGATTGAAGAGCTCATGCGAACTCGAGCTCATTTTCATAAGGTATACTCTTACTCTTCTCTTGAGATAAGCCTTAGTTAATACTTTTCGTCCGGTTCACCACTTAGAGAAACTTCTTTTCTGTGTAGGTAGGCGAAAATTACACCACTGATGGATATATCACTACCCCGCACACGAAAGAGCTCTTGAAGAAACACCTTGAGGCCACTGGAGGAAAGGTGAGAATTTCAATTTCAAATTACTCTTC